GCAGGCCTAGAGATGATTTGGAGTGGCTTTAAGTAGGGTGCTGGAAGATGATTGGGCATCAAGGAAAGTGGCTTGAAGCGGGATGGCTGCATCGGAGGCGGATCAGCCTCAGATTGAATGGAAGTAATCAGAGTTCTTCAGTTGAATTTCCGCCTTAGCTTCATTTCAAATTAAACATTTCAATCACATTGATTTTTACATTGAATTCATTAAACACTGCAATTTGAAAATGTATTTACCACTTTCCAAATTTCCAGTTTCCAGTTTTTTTTCTTTTTCACTTTGTATTTTTGAGACTTTTTTTGCAGTTGCATTTTCTTTTTACTTTAATTTCTCTAATTACCTTTTCTGTGACTCCTCTGGTCCCTGAATACACTGAAAATCAGATAAACCAATCAGAGTTGCTCCTTAGATGTAACCAGCTCTTTTATTGGTTAGACTTCCACACTTGGTTCACAAAATGACCAGTGAGAGAACTAGTTTCATCCGAGGAGCAAGGGGGATTGGTTGAACTGGTTCTAATTCTGATCTAGTGAGATTAGAATTAAATTTCACCAGACAGAGGTCAAACATTTTAGAATTACCAAAAGTCGACAATTGGAAAGTTTTAGCTTTGTTATCCCAAATTAAAGAAATGCTTCATCTTGCTTATCACACCTCTCAGGGCAAATGTGTAGAATAACACAAGTGATTGAATAAATCTTGCTTTCATCAAATACAACTATGTCAAAGTCCAAAACCAGAAGAATAATACCTAAAACTGATAATGAACAAAAATGATTTAGGATCAAATTTGACAAAATATCACGGAAAATTCTCCTTTGACAGAAAACATACTGTTTGGGTCTAATCAATATCTTAACAATATGTCAAGTTTTTCTCTTTATTTCTTTGTAATTAATTAGATATTGGAGATTCTTACAGTAATGATTGGCAATGTAGATGGGAATATAGACATAACTTCCAGATTTGGGCCATTTGCAGCCCGTCGCTGTGCATGGTACTGCATTCCTCTTTCTGCTCGGTGCAATGTCACCAAAGATGAGTGGTGTCTCTGAAAACCATAAAAAATGACACAGAAATAGCAGTTTATCAACCTTATCAAACCAAAAATGTTATTTTTTTATTACTGTATTTCTGGCAACTCTACCTCTAACAATATGGGTACATTGTATTAAGGATCTCTACTGTATTAATTTCCTGTGTTTTTCTTCTCTCAGCTAGTGGCTAATAAAAATACAAAAGTGGACAAGTTCAAAAATATAAAATATTCATACGTATTTTAATTTATCGCTGTAATCAAATTGTATTCATTAGTCATTTGATGCATCACTACAGAAAGCAAAGGGGGGGGGGGGGGTTGAATATGCTCTTTAATAGTCATGGAAATAAAAATTAATAGCTTTTATATGAAACCTAGTAATACTTGATAGTAATATTGCAAGAATCAATATGTTCTCAGAAGCTATATATCAGCTGTCTGGTTACATGTGTATATTGAAAAAAAATCTAATTGAACAGTTTTAGTTTTTGAAATAATTGAAAATAAAAAGTCAAAAACTACCACTACTGATATTTCTCCTCTAAATCCATAGAAACTCAATATTTAACCCTAAATAAGATTGGGAAATAGAACAGACCCTTGAGCCACACTTTAGGATAATTATTTACTGTATGAGAAATCTGCTGATTCAAGAAAAAAAGATTAGCATAAGTGACGCTTTAATGACCAAATATCCCTCTTTCTGGTTTACTCTTGGAAATATTAAATTAAATTACAGCCTCAGGATTGTGTGTAACTGTCATCTTACTTATGTCGGCATTTGCTTTGGAGATGACCTCAGTGGGATCTGTGTTCTCATCTGTGGAAAAGAAAAAAATAAGTCTACCTGACAAGAGAAAGGGATACATTTTCCTTCCGGATTTTTTATGTTAACTTGAGCACTCACCAATTTGGTTTTCATAGTCAGCTGCTCTCTG